CCACACTAATGGTTTCTCATGAACTGGCAAGAGGAAAGCTTGTTTTCTCCAGGGAATGGGAACCCAGCCTGGAGCTACCCGTGAGACGTAGTAAAAGGAAAGATGCATATTTTGCTCAGCAAGTCTGTACCTGTGTCATTCAAACCTGTGGCAGGTGCCGCATAGAGAAGAGGCTTCTTCTCAGCCAGGAAGTGAGCCCGTCAGCGCTGCCTGAAGGACCGGAGGACGCTGAACTGTCCACCCTGGTTTCAACAAATACCATAAATATGTATCTTGGCATCAGCCACAAAACTAACACCAGTTTGTTTTAGCCAAAACCCTCCCAAAGACACACCTGGGGCTTTCAGTGCAAACTCCCTGGAGATCCCCCAACATCTGTCTTAAATGCATCTGGCAGATCTCCAGTTTGAAAGCACTCTCTGTGGATCAGCTTCAGGTTTTTCTAGCTTCTCAATCCTCATGCCCTGGAGTCAAAGAAAGAACCGGGTGGGGAATCAATGCTGGGCRAGGAGGCAGGTAGAACTGATCCTTTATCTTATTCCACGTGCCAGCAAATGCTGTGCGTGGTTCCAAGTCTTCTCTGAGCCCAGGTTAAAGCCCAGAAAAGTAGGCCATCACACTTGTTGCTCTAGGCATTTTTCCAAACGAAAATGAAAATAATTCTTAACCTTGGACTAAGATTTTTTTTTCAGTATTTAATGAGCATTTCTATAGGGACCAAATATTGCTCAACTGATAAATATTTCTACAGAACTACTTGCCTGGTTTTGAATTACACCTTAATGCAGATGCAGAATAGCAGCGATAGCTATCTACAGTRAAGGCTGAAGAGCGAAGCCCTGGCTTTACTCAATTTTTCTGTTCATCTTTGGGAAATAAAGCAACATTAATGTTAATGGTGACTTTTGATGACCTAAGGCATTTATTAAAAATATATGGGGCTGGGGTAGTGGCTTAGTCTACTGGTACAGTGCTCACCTAGCATGCATGAAGAGCTGGGTTCAATCCTCAGCACTACATAAAAATAAATAAAATAAAGGCATTGTGTCCATCTACAACTAAAAAAAAAGATTAAAAAAATATATTACTATATATTATCAACCTTAAAGTTGATAATGAGAGAGATGTTTTTAGTACATGTGTTTGGAGAAGGTTATAGTAATTTCTGAAAGCAGATGTTTTTGGAGGGAAATCTTTGAAGAGATAGGTAAATAGAGGTAGGTGTGAAGGAAATGGATGGATTAGAACTCACTTCTCCTACCATGCAGAATTCAGTTCTCTGAGGAATACAATACTCTAAGAGAAGATCAAACTTCTGACACAGTATTATATTGAGGGTCTCAAACTCATTTGTCTTCCCACAGTTCTTGGAATTATAACTCCCACAAARTGAATACATAAATAAAGTGGGCTAATCACTTGCTAACATATTTTTGGCAAGGGAGCTGTCAATATTATGCTCCTCTTTGAAAATACTGCCTTCCGGAGAAGTAAACACTTTGTGCAGGGTCTTGCATGTAGTCAGTGGCTGAACAGTCTGGTGGTGTCGAAATTTCAAGTGAGATGCACAACATAAAAAGCAGACAAGCTAACTGAGTCTTCCTTATTCATTCAACACACATTTCTCTAGCTCAGGTTTCAGGCTAGGTACTGACAAGGGACACCATGAAAAGAAGAGCCTGTCCCCTGCTGGGTCTTGGTTTAGTAGGAGAAACAGACAAGTAAACACAGAGCAGAGAGCTCAGAGTCACAAACAGCACTTTTCATCCCTGTGTGATCTGGGAGACACCCCGGAGGAAGTGACATCTGCAGGGTTGGGTAAAGAGATAGAGATGGACTTCCAGAAAAGAGAAGCATCCAAGCAAGCAGGGGGACCAGAGTGATTAGGAAACCAGAAGTAGATGAGCATGGCTACCTATGAGTGTGTGTGTGTGTGTGTGTGTGTGTGTGTGTGTGTGTGTTGGAAGATGTCCAAGAGGTGAAGTAGGAGTGGGGAGGTATTTAGCCAACAAGCTCATGAGAGATCTTCTCATGAGACAGGTACCCCATATAGGGTATCTTCCTATATGGATACAGAGAAATCTACTTCGTTCTTTTGTACAGCCTCATAGTAACACATTATATTTAACTAGACCTCTATTAATGAACTTTCAAGTTGTTTCCCATCTCTAGGCATGACAAACAAATTCATATTGTAATGAATAACCTTGTACCTACCTTGGTTATGTGATCGGGTTTGTTTGTATTATAAATTCTYTGAAGTGGATTTGTAGATGCGTGCATAGATTTGACAGAGATTGTTGCCAGAAGCTTACATTTCTTTGGCTTTACATAATTAGGCATATCACATAAATCTATAGAGCTTTTCACCTGTGGACTGGTGTCAAGGTCAGTCAGAATGAGCCCTGGTTGGGGAACCTTTAGCACGATGTGATTTTAAAAGTACTGATATTCCACTACTCACTGTAGAGCAGTTTTAGTGGGAGCCAGCAGGGGAACAGAAACAGTAATAAATAATGAAATCATCATAAGTTGAAAATTTTAAGTTGAAAAATTTTTAACATGGCTAATGTATTGAATATTACATGAAAAGCTCAGCCTGGCCTACCTTAAACATGCTCAGAACACTGAGATTAGCTACTGTTGGGCAAAATCAACTAACACAAAGCCTATTTTATAATCAAGTGTTGAATATCTCACGTATGCACACATGGATGGGCGTTTTGTATACATGATGAGATCTAAACACACAAAACACAATATCAAAACGGCTGGCAACACAACACATGGTACAGTACCGACTTCTCCCCATTCCCCTCCTTRCCATGGTGTGGCTGACTAGGAGTACCCCTTGCCTCTGTGGCTCAGCATCACAGGAGTATCACACCACAAATTATAGCCTAGGAAAAGATCACAACTCAAAGCATGTTTTCTAGAACATGTTTTCTAGAAAGCATGTTTTCTACTGAATATACTGTAAACTGGAAACATTGTAAGTCAAACCATCATAAATCCAGCAACATCTGTAACAGAAAATTCCTAAACTTTCCTAAGTCTTGTAGCTCCCCAGTGGCCAACTGGATGATAGCCCAAGCTGCCCCTTTCCAGCACAGCCAGCCTTTGACCTCCGGTCCCATGCCTCTTGTCTCCTAATTCTGTTCATCAAAAGGTCCTAGGGACTAACTATATATTTAACACAGTGCTGGAAGTAGAGAAAGGTGTTTGTTCTCAAAGAACTTCTGATCCCATTGGAGATACTGGCCTCAAAACAAACACAGCAATGCATTAGTTCCATGGCCCAAAGTAAAATCAGGGTCATCCGGGACAAAGAAAACTCACATTTCTTAATGTTATTGCGACAAAACCCAGTTCTTATAAAACTGGAAAAAAGATCAGATATAAGAGAAAAAATAGTCGAGTATGGTTCCTCCTGGCACTGCAGGGCAGAGGGGTGGGAGGAAAGGGAARACCAGATGGGGCCCTTGATCTGCTGCAGCACTGAAATAAAAGTAGCTGTCACTGTCCCCTTCAAATAACCTGGCTTTGTCCAACACAACCATCAGTTCACAGATAGTATTTTTCCCTCAGGAGAAGAAATAGGCAAACTGATTTGAGAAGATTTRGGACTATTTTCTTCAGTTAAAAATGAGGACAGGGTGTGCGATTTGTTTGCTACAAGGTCTAAGCAGAAACTGCCACTCCATTAGATACTTTAGTTCTTGTTGGTTATGTGCTTTTTAATTAGTCAGTAGTTAGGTTATGAAATGATTATCTGCTAMTGGGAAAGATTTTCCTTGCATTTATTGCACAGAAGCAACAAGTTTGTTTATTTTAACCTCTTTTAATTTCTCTATTGAGCAAGCAGCATTTCAACAAGAGTAAATAAAATGTTTTATGAGATACTGCTCAAATGAGCACACTGGCTGTCATTTTTCATTGTTTTTCAGTAATGTCCATTCATATATATTTTTACCTAATAACAATCATACTATTGATCCAGTTTTGTGATCTGATTTTTTTTCCTTTAGATTATTACATTATGAGCATTTTCCATGTTTCTCTGACTTCCAGATTATAACGGCCACCTAATGACCCACAGGTCTGATGCTCCACTATCTGTGGTAGTCATTTCCCTGTTCTCGGCCAGAGAACCCTATTGTGTACCTCATCTGGTTAGATGGCATTGCCAGAGATGGAAAATGTCTTTGAGAAATGCCCTTTTGAAAATAAACAGGTAGCCCCAGCTACATTATGTATCTACTGGACAAAAAGATGGCCCCAGATTTTAACAGACCAGGTACAATTGTTGGTAGATAATTCTGGTTGGAAATACGACTAAAAGTTTACAAGTAAACATGGCATTCATTTTCATGATTAATAGCAAAAAAATTAAAACTACTCTCACACAGTGCCAATTCTACCTTCCTCCTTTCTGTCTCCTTGTGCCAGAACATCATAAAGGGAAACAATATTACCAGCGTCGCTTAATCTTGACTTCTAAGTATCAGTGCCAGATGCAGAATGTGCTGTTTACTGAACAGAGAGGAGGAAGCTCTGTGGCTAAGGCTAGCAGGTGAGGGAGTGGGTACTATACTGAGTGTTAGGGTGACCTTTCCTTCTSCTTTGGCACACAGAGGCATCTCACACCTTACAGAAAGGGAGGAAAGTGTTAGGGTGGAGTGCTGGAAGGTGAAAACGGAGAAGTTTTTATACCGGAATCTGGTCCTTAAAAGGGCACAAGGTACAGAATGGGAGGGCAAGCAAGGGGAGAGGACCCACTGGATAGCGCACAGGTGGCCCGGGTGGGCGTGCGACTCAGGCAAAGGGTACTCTGCTTGGACCCGGGCTAGGGGAGGCGGGGATAGGAGGTGGTAGCGCACCAGAGGCGGGGCTGGGTGTCCAAAGGGGCTCTCAGGGAGGCAGGACCCGAGTGGGGACGCTCGGGGAGGCGGGGCGCGGGGGACGGGCCAGCGGGGGCGGGGGCGGGGCCCAGGCCAGGGCGCGTCCGCAGCTGCCGGAGTCCCGGGATCTCCCTGCGTGTCCCTCCCGGTCCCAGTGCGGTCCCCGCGCTCTAGCCCCACCATGCTCCTGCTTTGGGGGCTGTGCTTGGGGCTTTCTCTCTGCGCGGGGTCGCAGGAAGAGGCACGGAGCTGGGATGACACTTCGGAGCAAGTAAGCGGGAGAGCTGGAGGGAGGGGTGGGCGGGGGCCGGCGMGGCTGCGGTCCCCTCCCTCAGCCCGCCTGGGCCGCGTGGCTTCTGGACTGGAGTCTTTGGGCAGTWCGGACGCGGGGTAGGGAGGCATCACCTCCCTCTCCTTTCTCAACTTTCTGCCCCAAAGCTTCCCCACCTGTTGGTCACTTGTGGGTCGCTTCTCCATCATCCGCGGTGCCAACCTGACCCTGAGACTCCCGCGGAACTGTGCCTGAGACTCCAAGTTCTTCGGGACCAAGTTAACTTCTTGGCCTCGGGTTATCTGGACATGTTTTGGGCGGTCTTTGTTAATTTCTGAGGCGACAATCATGTCCCCAATACTCACAAGATTTCATCTTTACTAAGACTTTGTGGTTATTGTTGTTGATCCAAGTAGAAGGGACAACCTGGGAAAGTTCCAGACTCCTGGAAGATCAGCACACGACTTTCCCATTCGGGTCTCAGCAATGGGTTAGCAGTTTAAAAATCCCCCGGAACCAAAGCGTCTTAGCTCCCTTAACTGATATTCAGTATGTTCGCTAGAGCTTGTGTTTTAACTGGCTTAGCCTCACAGGTGAATAAAACCAGGAAATATGAAATCCCAATCTGGTGTCCTGCGACTAGGAAAGCCCTTTGGGCAGTATATAGCGACTTCACACAAGTGGCACTGTAGAGACCTGTGAGAGAAGTGGCTGTCACAGTTAAAGTGGACAAGCTGCTTGCACACACAACATTTTAGTGACAAACTGTTCAGTTTAAAGCATGTTTGTAGGTTGGGAGGAAGATATAAGCAGGGTACCTCTTTTCCCTTTTTTCCTGTCCCTCCTTTTGAAGAGCAGATCTGGAAGACCAATCTGCCCAGTCAGTGGTTAATTTCATGCAGACTCTGTCTTATGAATGTGTTTATCAATCAAGTCGGGGTGGCGGTCATTCTTTCTGGGGGTCATCAGATGGAATAATCCATACAAATCCCAAGAGGCTTTTGTGTTGGTGTAGAACAAGTGCAGACTTTGGATCCAGAGACAGGCTGGTCCCATCTCTTCCATTTACAGTGCAGTACCTTTTGGGCATACAGCCAAGGACTTAGATACCATGTGGTAGGGACCTGGTATATACAGTGGACACTCAGTACATGGAAGGTGTTTTAGTAAGCAATAAAGGGCATGATCAGTGGCTGTCTGGGTTTGAGTCCTGATTCTGTCACTTACTGTCTCTGTTACCTTGGGCAGATTAATTAATTAATTAATTAATTAAATGAGGTGTTATTAGTCTGTTTCTAATTAAAGGTAAATGACAAATAAGAATTGCATTGCCTCAATTTCCTCTTACATAAAATATAGGAAAATATTAGTTGTGTATTTAAAACAGGGTTGGCACTGCATGTTAGCAATTGCTCTTGTGTAGCAGGAGAGCAGAAACAAGGAATTTAGAGTAAAGATCTTGTAACTTTTTTTGTGGGGTGGAGGAAAGGCAGTGTGGGAAGGACAGAAGTAAAGACTGTGCTATGAACTAGGAGGACCGATTACAGCTCWAACGTCCCCAAGTCCAGGCAGGCTTAACACTCTCTAAACTTTCCTTCTTAGAAAAACATGGATTCRGCCCATTTAATGGTTTCATGTGATTTTTAATATGTGGTAATAATTTGTGTTGAAAATGACTAAATAAAAAATGCAAATAAAAATAAAACCTTTCAAAGTATGAAGTTCTATGAAAATTTGCAATTGTACCTTTGAGTAAAGCTCAAAAATAGAATAAGTGCTGTTTTTWAAAAATTTAGTTATTTCTTTTTTTCTTTTTTTTTTTTTGTGAAGAAGAATTTAAGAGACAGGTTCTAGCACAGACTTCCTGGGTTCACATCCTGGCTGGGCACTTGCTAGGGGATTATTTAACATTTCTGAGCCTTTATGTCTCAATTAGGATGACAAAACTACTTAATTACATGAATTTTGAAGAGTGAAAGAATTAATGTATTTAGACCTTAGAACAGAACCTGGAAATGTTGTCAGTACTCGATTCTCAAATATTATGCTTTTCAAAATTACATGTAAACTTAATTTAAAAATTGTATCCAGGTATGTGAATTTTATGCAAATCTTAATGTAACTGTATAGGCCCATTAACTTGCAATGCAATTCTTATTTGTCATTTACCTTTAATTAGAAATAGACTAATAAAACCTCATTCATATTCCTGTCTCCACCCCAACACTACTACTTTAAAAGACTCTTTCAGAAAATTATCTTAAAGAGGAAGTCTCTTGTATAAAATCAGTCTGCTGATTTATGTTTTGTAAGTTTTAAATTTAAGTAAAGATWGGCTCTATTCCTATGATTAGAAAAGCAGTTTTATCTTCACAAAATAATAATAGACACCAGTTATTGAATGTCTTCAGTCTCTCAGAGAGTTTGTTAAGAACTTTGTGTTAAAGAACTCAGAAGCCAAGTGTGGCAGCACACGTCTGTAATCCCAGGAGCTTGGGAGCCTGAGGCGGGAGGATTGCAAGTTCAAAGCCAGTTTCAGCAATTTAGCAAGCCCCTAAGCAATTTAATGAAACTCTGTCTCAAAATTAAAGAATTTTTAAAAAGGCTGGGGATGAGGCTTCATGTTTAAGTGCCCCTGAGTTGAATCCCCAGTACTGTCCTCCCCATCAAAAGCAATAAAGTTATAATTAATAATCTTTCAAATATAGTCATACTGCATGGGTTCAAATCTGGGCCCCACTATTTCTTGACTGTGTATACTTGGGCGAGTAACAAACTSTCTGTATCTCAGTTTCATCATCTGCAAAAAAGAGTTAATAATAGTTCTTGCCTCATTGGCAGGGGTGGATTRAGGTTTGAGGATGAAAGTAAAGTAAAGGATAATTTGCAGAGCCCTTTTTTTTAAGGGAAAGAATATCAAATTATGACTACAAAATTAGGTTCTAAAGGGACCTCTTAGAGTGATAAATTGCAACAGATGACAACTGAAAAACATCACAAATATCACCCAGTTTTAGGGGTCTCTTACAAGGGAGGGAGCTCCAAACTTATAGTCTAAACGTAATAATATGGTAATAAATTGTGGTTTCCTGGCATGAAGGAGAACCCTCAGTTTGATAATAAATTTGATGATAAATTGTATGCTCTTATGGTTATTGTGAGGATAGAGTTAATTTAGGCAAAGCATTTGCCTATAGTAGACCCTAAGGTAATAGTAGCAGTTTTTAAGCATTTATGTCCAGCCTTGTTAAATCTTCACAAGTTCCAYGACAAGGTCTCAGTGACCTGATTTACAAAGGACAACCAGGGAAGGCCACCAGAAGAAGCGATGCACCCAAGCAAACCAGGCAGAGCCCACACCAGAACCCAGCTGTGCAGAGGTCAAGGCTGGGGCTAGCCTTGACTCCTCCAAGCAGCAGCCCCCTTTCATGTGGACAGTTTAGTTTTTTTAAATGTAATATTCATTTGTACTCCTGGCACATCAATAATGTTCAATAAATGCGGATCAAATTCTAGCATCTATTGTAATACATTTCCAATTCCCCTAATTTGGAAATTTCTTATAAATTTCCATTTAGAGTCAGTCACATCTTTGTATTTGGGGGGAAAAACAGAGAAGACAAATACATATGTATGTGTGGTATGTGTGTGTCTGTAAATATATCAAACTTTCTAAAGCCAATCCYAGATTGTGCAAACTGCAGGCCCCTCAATAATGCCTCCCTTGTGTGCATGAATGTGATTGCTGAAATGGAATTGTAGAATTGAATGGGGAAGGAGGATGCTGTGGGAGAAATTCCAGAGATGTGCTCATTCCCAAGCCAGCCATATCTCATTTCTTGGGGGTGGAAAGGAGGGGTGGGAGTCCTGAGCACTGTATGATRAGTTGTATGTGACTCTGTGTTTCTAATTAGCACTTTCTCAAAGCCTTGGATGCTCAGGTTTGAGGAATCTTGCTCAATGTACTGTTGGAGTTGCAGTTGGGAATGTGAGTAATGTTTCTGTGTCCCTGGAGCTGCAAGGTTGAATCAGGAAGATGGGGCTGCGGGATGAAGACCTGAGCTTATGTTTGTGTGTGGGAATGGTAGGGTCAGGGACAAGTGTGTGTCCTGAACCACTCATTATTTTCCTATAAGTAAGGTCCATTTCYATTATTTTTTCACAAAGAAACAAAACAGATTGACTTGCCTTAARGCCAGCTGATTTTTTTTCTTAAATTTTCCAGGAAATTGTTTGCAATTTTAGCCCAAATTTGAAGTTTCTTCTTTCATTTCTGAAGTTATAGATACCCCGAATTGCAAGTGGTTAGTAACTGAACAACTTGCAGCAGCTTTACCCCAAAGGAAGAACAGTTTTGTGCAGGTGACATAGAGTATTTCCAAAGGGAAATACTCCCACACTGGCTCTTCTCCAACTGGTGACAAACAACATCTTAAATGAACTTCCATGTCTGACCTTGGTTTGGGTTCAAGTTCTACAGCAGACCTCTAAGGTAACTTGTCTCGTTAGTTACCTGTATTAAACCTGCTTCCTTTTCATCCCATTCCACACAGACAAAGCTAGGTCTAGTCGTACCTCTATCATATAGCCCTCCATAGTCACTCAAGAACAAAATGAACTTGACCTTTTCCCATTCCTTTTTTTGTTTTTGTTTTTCCTTTRTGAGACTGGGGATTGAACCCAGAGCCTCACAAATGCAAGGAAAGTGCTCTACCATTGAGCTCCATCCCCAGCCCTTTTCCATTCCATATATATATATATATATATATATATATATATATATGTATATAAAATAGTAAGTCCTTGATGGTAGAAATCATGGCTTATATTTTTTAATAAATATTGTGATCTGGACATTTGATGCTGGGAAGTAAACTCTACTTGCTAGAACCAAAGAATCCTACTTGATCCATCTCTTTAGGTTGCAAGCAAGTTGGTGGGAGCTCTGAGATTACTATTTWTGGTAATTCTTTCCATGAAGCTGAAAATAAGTAACTTCTTTGTTCCCAGTTCCTACCCCCAGATTCTTATATAAGACAATGGAAAATTACTCAAACAATAAAAARGATCAGGAATTCCTAACTCAAAACAATGATGATGACATTGGTGCCATTTGTACTTCCAGTCCTAGCTGGCACYGGGAATCTGTCTGTACTGGGATGTTTTGGTTCTGGGTCAACCTGAGTTTAAACTTGGACTGAAGTGTAGCCATCATGATCCCCTGAGACATCAGATAGTCATCTCAAAAATGGAAAACCCATTTCTCTTGTTCTCCTTAAAGCTTGCTTATTTCCTTTTAAAATCTATTTCAAAAAGGAGGAAACTTCAAAGAAAATACTTTAGATCAATCAGAGAACTTAATAYCTAGAGGGGTTGGGCTTTCCTTCTGACCATAGTTATTTTTAAGTGTTCCCCAGTCTATTCTGCAATGTTAGGGAGGGGAAGGCCTCAGATGAACCTGCAAAACTGGCAAATAACTTGCCCATGATCCTTCCAGTGGTTTCTGATACATCTTACCTCCTTTTAGAAATCAGAGATCACCATCCACCTAGGAATTGTTTGGTTCCCATTTGGATTCAGGGTGGCTGTCTACCTAAATCCTGTAGTTTCCTTTCTGTTCTTGAATTTTGAGTACGAAGCTATATAGTAGCTTCTAGTTTTAACTTATAACACACACACACACACACTTGGGATAAGGAAGAGGATGGGGTTAAACAATTTCTGTAATACAATCAGTTTTCAAAAGGAAATATCTTTATTGTTTTTTCTATATGGAAGGGATACCTGATAGTTTATCAAAACTGAAGAAAATACAGAAAAGTGTTAAGAGAAAGAATTCAACCATCCCAAAGTAACCATCATTAGCATTTTGGTACGGGTTCCACACATAAAAACACTTATACTTGYAAAAATGGATCATGTTAAATGTAGTGTTTTGTTGCCTGATATTTATACTTTAAATTGTGTCATGAATTTATCTGTCAGGATAAGCTAGGTTATACTAGATAACAAGCCCCTCATTTATTTCTTGCTTATGCAACTTGTCTGTTCCTGGTTGGCAGTGGAGCGTGTATGTACATTGTTGTCCCTTGTGAACATGGACCTGATGAAGCTACCGATCTAAAAACTGCTAATTACTATACTGGAGGATCAAGTGTCTATAATTTAATTCTTRGTCCAGAAGTGACAAACATTACTTGCCTTCACAACTTATTGGCCACAGCTAATCATGTGGATCCACTTACCTTCCAAGGTAGTAATCATTCAGGAGGAAAGCTAGAAAAATATTTGATGAACAGCATTAAAGTTTAGTAACAAGAGGATTTGTTGATATCAGTAAATATAGATCCACATCATTATTCTCAACAGCTCTATTGTAATTAATGTATCATGATGTATGTAATTGAACCACTTTTTAAGGATATTTTGRACAATTTACAATTATGAACAATTGCTTTAAAAGTTGCAAAGAATTTTCTTATGTATCTATTTTTTCTACTGATTTCTCCTCCTATGATATTTTTTAAAATTTATTTATTTTTTATTTTAATTTGTAGATATGACAGCAGAATGCATTACAATTCATATTACACATATTGAGCACAATTTTTCATATCTCTGGTTGTACACAAAGTATATTCACACGTTCRTGTCTTCATACATGTACTTAGGGTAATGATGTCCATCTCATTCCACCATCTYTTTTACCCCTATGCCCCCTCCCTTCCCCTCCCACCCCTCTGCCCTATCTAGAGTTTGTCTAACCCTCCCATGCTCCCCCTCCCAACCCCACTATGATTCAGCCTTCTTATTTCAGAGAAAACATTCAGCCTTTGGTTTTTTGAGATTGRCTAACTTCACTTAACATTATATTCTCCAATTCCATTCATTTACCTGCAGATGTCATGATTATATTCTCTTTTAATGCTAAGTAATATTMCATTGTGTATATTATACTTTTCTTTAAGTAGAATTTTCAAATTAAAAGACATGCATTCAGGTGAGAATATAAAATGTTATAGTCATTTTGGAAAAACGTTTTGGCAGATTCTTAAAAGTTAAATTTGCCAGTAATTTCAGTAATAGGAAAATAAAAGAATGTCTCCAATATAAAGGATTGACTGTGAATCTTCATTCAAGTTCAGAATCATTCAAAATAGCTACAAAGTAGAACAGCCCAAATGTCCATTAGCTGGCGAGCAAATGAAACGTGGTATATCCATACAATGGAATATCATTCAGATATAAAAAAGTACTGGTTGCTGCAGTATGGACAAACCTTGGAAAAAATCATGCTAAGTGAAAAATGTCACACATAAAAGTCTACATATTGTAAGTTTCCATTTATATGAAATGACTGAAATGGGCAAAACCATAGGGACAAAGTAATTTAGTGGTTGCAAAGGGGTGGGAGACAAGAAGAGAGTCAGAGGTGATGGCTAAAGGAAATAGGGTTTCTTTCTAGAATAGTAAAATGTTCAAGTTGATTATGGCCATATCTGCACAACTCTGTATATGGTAAAAAAATGTTTTTACTTGTGCACAGAAAGGGATAAATTTCATTTTATGTAAATTACACTTCATACCATTGTTTAAAGACTATGAAGACAATCCCTGCCATATTTTTCAAGATTTTGATCTACATTGTCAAATTGCCCACCAGAAAGAAAACTTTATTACTCTTAGCAATAACCATTCACACTGCTACTATTGAGACAGAAATTTGTCATAAGTAACATTTGGCATCTAGCTACAACTTTCCAATCAGTCTGGAGGGGCCCATTGATTATGACTGTGGTTTTTAAAGAGRGTGATTTTATCACTTTTCTATGTTCCTCTGCTGTACATGGGAAAACATGGCAAATAAACCAGGAAAAACACAATAAGAAAATTCATGGTAAGGAAAAAAAAATCAGGGTAAGTTCAGTTTTGCTTTCAGAGTTTCTAGGAGGTTTTTTGTTGGTTTTTTTTTTTTTGTGTGTGTGTGTCTGTGTGTGTCTGTGTGTGTATGTGTGGTGCTGGAGATTGAATCCCGGGTCTTGTGCATTCAAGGGAAGCACTCTACCAACTGAGTCACATCTCCAGCCCTCTAGGAGTTTTGAGTTGCATAATGAGCCCATCAGAATAAGGCTGAGTACCTTCACTGATCATAATAGGTACAACAGCAGGGAGCTCAATGTCAAGMCCAAAGTAAAATGAAACAGAGTACAGATATTCTAACATCTGTCCTCTTACAGGAAAGACCATTCAGGTGACCAGGCAGGTTAAGAGCTGCCTAGATCTGTTGGCTCCAGTTCTGGCCTAGAAACAAACTCTGATATAAAGTTAAAACTACCTTTTGAGATAGACAGTCCTTTTGGTGAATTTGAGTGAATCTGAAATTTAACCCTCATATTTAAGGACACCTCATGATCTTGTTTTTCCATTTCTCCTCTTCCACGTAGGTTGGACTCAGGGTCCCAAGGCAACTCAGGCTGCTGCAGAGGCTGGTATGTATACCCTGGTGCATCTCAAAAGTSACTTCCCTTAGTCCGCTGGTTCTTTTGAATCAGGCACACACTTTGCATGCAGGACCTCCATAGCTTCTGGGGTTGCTCACAGAAGAATTCTAACAGGAGTCYCATAGCTGATTCCTTTATAAGTTTTCTAATTTAAGTGGATTTTCCTTGCTTGAAAGAGACTTGATTATTTCAGTAGGACTCTAAGAACAAAGCCTGAAGTTTCAAAGGCTTTCTTTTAAAAAAGAACCTAAACATAACATTTATTTTTTTATGGCATCCTTGCCCAGGAAAGAAATACTTTGTTGTGAAGTCAACAGGTAAGGCATCCAAAGAGTTCACTTTCACAGATGAAGGCAGCTGGTTGAAAGCTGGGCAAGTTCTCACTGCCTGATGGAGGCTAGTAGGTCAGAACTTGAATAAAGTTCAGAAACTCCAAGAGCTTGTTTGAAGCAATCTCAGTTCTTCCTTATGAATGTGTATGTGGTGAAATATCAAAGCGAGGAGACATGTCTTAGGCTCCAGGGAGGCTTTCCTTTCTTTGGCTGGTGTTTGAATTGATTAAGATTGTCTCATCATTAACAGTATCACATCCATTACCATCCTTGTTTGGACTGAGATTTTGTCTGTTTGTCTTTCTCTTTCTCGATACTTGGGGATTGAACCCAGGGGCGCTCTACYACTGAGCTACCTCCTCAGCCCTTTTAACTTTATTTGGAGATGAGTTCTCACCAAGTTGCTGAGGCTGGCCTTGAACTTGCAATCSTCTTGCCCCAGCCTCCTGAGTTGCTGGAGATTCAGGCACRTGCCACCACACCTGGCATTTTCTTTTTTGCTTGTCTTCCTCTTCCCCCTTCCTTCCCATGGTCCTTCCAATTCTGCCTCCTCATATTCCCAATTTTGTTAGCTTAGTATTTATTTTTTTTCCAGGTTTTTATCCATGTGCACATACCATCGATTAACATGTGTACTTAAGTATGTCAAAGATTGTGAAGTATCTGAGATTTTTCCCTGTTACCATTTCATTAACGCTAGCAGGAAACAGGAGACTCCTGGGTCAGGAGTATAACATTTGCTCTATTCCTCGACACCAGTCCYTGGATATGGTGACCCTTACACATGCAGTTGGTTACATGAGAGCAAACTTCAGTTTAGGGAACATATTTAATAATACACCAACTGCCCTCTGAACTTTCCTGAYTTTTTGCCCTTGCAGGAAAATATTCTCTTTTTTATTATTCTGGACATTAAGCCAACTTGTCCTCTGCTATCTTCCAAGGCTATTCACTAGACAAATATCCTTGAAAAGATAGTGCAGAACAAAGCATCCAGTGTCAGCTAGTGGTAAAAGTGCAGAAATTCCAGCGACTCATGGGGAATACTATCCTAACAGTACCTACCTACTGTTATTCATTCATTCATTCAACAAATATTTTTTTGAGCGTCTGCTACCTGCCCAGCACTGTTGTAGGCATAAAATATCTTGCCTTCCACAGAGCTTGAGTTCTAAAAGTGGGTGGAAATAGATTTTTTWAAAAATTGAAATAAAAAAATAAATAAAAGTAACAGCATATTAGTAACTGGGAAGATGACAAGTCCCATTGACAAGATGAGCAGTGGAAGATGGGACCTTATATACACCTACCCATGAGATTTCTGCTCATTGCTTTAAAACAGTGGGGACCTTCAATGACCACTGATGTTGGCCGATAGCTTACTGTGTGCCAGTCATTCCYCTTCGGTTCTTCGTGTCTTGTCTCAATTACTCTTATCATGGTTTTTGGGGGGCAGCGCTTTACAGATGAGAAAACTGAGAATCAGAGAGATTGAGTAACTTTTTCAAGATTACATGGCTGAGAAGAGGTGGCAGGACCAGGATTGAGTCCCAATGATCTGGAAGCTTCTAAGTCCATGCTCTTAACTAATACACCAACTACTCTCTGAATTATATGTATTTTCTATTCCTTATTATTTTCACTCCATAATACATTACCTGGCATAGCTCTACAGCCATTTTTAAATGGTGAACACCATTTAAAACCCAATGTCATTGATACATTACAATTTATTAGTCCGTCTACTATTGATGAACTCTTAATTTATTTCTAGTTTCTTCTAAATAGTGCTACAAAACAACAACAACAACAACAACAAAACCCCTTTTTATATACTGTAATTCACAGTGCTTTAATTCTGTGGCTTACATTTTCAGTAGGAAGATTGCTGATTCAAAGTGGATGTACGTTGATTTTGACAGATGTTTTCAGATTACTTTTGAGTACTATTGCTCTTAATACTATCTGTATTTATTCTATTCTGTCACCAGTGATGAATATGAACATTCCTCTTATAACCAATACGACTGCTCTTTTGGATTTGCCAGTCTCTTAGATATAAAGTGATATCTCGTTGTTCCTTTGGTTTCTCTGAATAATGTACAAGTTTGGAAATTTAAAAATAGGTTTGATAGCCATTCAGAGTAGTTCTCTGAATTGCATTTTTCAGGTCCTTTGCCCACCTTTCTATTGTGTTTTTATCCCCTTAATTGTCAATGTAGCTGAGATTTTTGCATGTCACAGATACCTTCTGTCTTCTAAACCTTTCCCCCRTAAAACTACCATTTGCCTATTAATTTTGCTTAGGGTATATTTGTCATATAAAAGTTTTAAGTTCCAAAATAATAAATAAATTTATTTTTTTCCTTTAGCCTCTAGTCTTTGTTCTTGGTAACAAAGACTTTCTTGATCCATTGGCTTAGACTTTTCAGAAAATCTCTTAGATGTTCTTGGAGACTTCTTCGAGTTTTCAGTCTTATTTTCACACATGTTATCAATTTTGTATCATGAACTATACCCATCCAACTGGAACCAGAACGATCTTTCCAGCAGCAGACCTGGCATATCATGCTGGTGCGTGCATGTCCTCGATGACTCCACATCACGTGTGGGATAAACTCCAAGGACCAGGAGATCTGGCTCCTGCCCATGTCTGGAGTCTTAGTTCCCTCTCTGAGTCTCCTTACATTCTGTGCTCTAGCCATCTCACATTAATTATAGTTCCCTGAATGCTCCACACTTTAATTAATGAATAGAATGTGAACGGCAACAGCTGGTCTTCTCCCACCATGGCCAGGCTGCAAGGATTTGCTGGATTTCTATTCTGAATTAATTAGGTATCCTTTTTATGAAGCTCCCTGGCAACACACACACACACACACACACACACACACACACACACACACACACATTTTGAAAAGCAGGGGTTATCTTTGTGTCTGAGTTTCCATGGTGCTTTAGGATACTGGCCTAGTTTTCCTAAAATGATTCTCTGCTGACATTGAACCCTCAGACAGCAGAGGCCCTGTCTCCATGGATTTTTGTAGCAGGTATTCTAAAATTTGTCACCAGGAACTGTTATTCAGGTATGATAAGATATGAAGACGCAGAGGAGATTTTCACAGAGGAAGAAGGCGGTACTCATGGGTCTCTAGAAACAGGGGCTGCGCACCAATGCTGGGTCACATGTGCAAGTACCATGGTATGTCAGGAGGCAGAAGGGGCAGGGGACAGCACGGCTCAGAGTGCTTATTAGAGTTTCCATCAGAAGAAATGGGCATGGCCTGGTGGGTCTGCTGAGTGAGCTTAAGCCTGGAGAGTTTGCATGATTCTGGGCTGTAACAGTTGTCCCGTACCTGCTCAGGGTGATGCAGGATAGGGAGCGCATTGACTTGCTGTGAGAGTTTGATAGAGGAGGTGGTTGGGTGTGGGCCCAGTACTGTTGGTTCCTGTGTGGAAGGTGTGCGGGTAGGGAAGTCATCCGCCCTCTCTAGGAATGAGAGGGACAGTCCCTCCAGGATCAAAGCCCCAGCTGCCAGAACATCAAGAACACAGAAACTGATTGTTGGCTACAACACTGCAAGGAGCGCGATTCTGGGCCTCTTTGCCTCAGGGAGGCTACTTAGGCCTGTGTCTGTCTCCCTGTGCCCGACTCTGGCCTTCAGGATGTGTCCTTTTTAGCAGATTATAGGATGGGGTTTTTCCCCCTACAAAGATGATAATTACGTGTTACGTTTCTTCTATCTAAATAAAAGGAAATACTGCAGAGTACGATGCATTACTGCATGTAGGCGGCTCAGAGCTGATGGCCCTTGTGTCTGCAGAAGGGTGAAATGATTTCCCAAGGTGGTCAGTACATACAGCGTGCATTCTGGAAAGGGTCCTTGTCATTCTGCTTCACGTAAGAACAGCGTGTGCTTTGTCCTTTTCCTCAAGAGGAGAGGCGTGAAGGTTTAGTTAAGGTCTTTGGGCCCAGAGTTAGCCAGCGGCCACAGCAAACCCTCCTCTTCTAGAAGACTCGAGGGAGTGGAGTTAGAGGATTTCTGAGGGGGCAGAGAACCCCTCAGATTATTTCTCCTAATGGACACTAAAGAATGTTAGACCAGAAGAAAACAGGTTAATCTAGGAAAAGGCACCGGGTCCTGGGTGTTGGCAGCTCCCACCCCACACATTCCCATTGCATTTCCAGATGACAGCTTGGGTAATTCAGGACATCCTCTGGGTGGCTTGATTTTAAGAGACTCACATGAGTCATCTGAAAACCTTTGGTCCCTTAGGCAGCTAATTAAGACACTCCCTGCCTCAAACTACTTTTCCATCTGTTTTGCTTTTGTAGGAAAAAATAATGAAGAGATTATACTGTGTCACAGGAAGATTTTTTTTTGTGGCCCCTCCCCCCAATTTTCCAGTTGACATCTCCAAACAAAATTATTAATTATAAATATGGAAAACATGTTAGATTTTAAAATACTGTGTACTGGGAAAATTTGAGGTAACTGTTTTATATCCTTCCTCTTATGACAAATTTTTCATGAATCTCTGCCATTCGACATTCTGTGTTTGTTTTTTAATGTCATTTCCTCTGTCACCTACCTGCCCAACACACTTTCCATAGTGTATTCATGGCTGCTTCCAACTTCCCTGTCTAGTGTTGTT